TTGCGATCCTCTTCACTAATAACTGAGCAGTTCCTGAATTCGCTTTTCAAACATTCCTTTGAGAGTTCTCTCTTTTCTCGGCTGGTAGTGTTTGACCACACCATCTCTTGTTATAGTATAGCCACTATAACTCTTACTAAACATTCTCAATTTTTTCGTTTTATTTTTCTTCCATTCATTAGGATCTGCCGTGAAACGTCTTTCTCTTTTATGCATCATATCATCATGATCAATAATATCAGGTACTGTTTCATTATCAGTTTCATCTATATTTTCTTCCATAAGAGGCAAGTTTACCTCTTGTGAAGATTCATCGGAATCGTAATCATCCTTCGGCTCAAAATCAGGATCCTCCTTTCCAGCTTCTGGCGACTGAGGCGATTCGATAGACTGACTTTGCACAAAATCATGAGTTTCTGTTCTTAAATTTCATTTTGATGCTGTAGTAACATATTCACAATTCATTGAATTGCTTGTCCAGAATCAATGGAATCGTATTTTCCAGTCGGCTCAGAATTTGAATGTTTTCCGTAGTTTTTACCAATTGGAGCAATTCAATAGCCTGACTCACACATACAATATCATGATTATCTATTGTGTGCTGCAGTACTGCCGCATCATATATATATATATATATATATATATATATATATATATATATATATATATATATATATATATATATATATATATAGTTAATTTATGTCAATGTGGCACCATATATAGGTGAAAATTGTCTTAACGGCACCCAATTTTACGTTGTAGCACCCGACTTCGGGTGCCGATACGTTCCACCTTGATTTTTTTTATATTAACGTAAATAGTCACCTATGAACGTCTCACGAAATATTGGGTGGGTGTCAAGAAGACAATATTTCTGAACGAACATATTGAATAGTTCGACAATTTTTCGATAGGGGGCGCTGCGTTATATACAAGTGTATGTAAATATATAAATGATTGCATAGTGGCATCTTCCAAATATGTTTACATTTTGACACCAGAAATTTGGCAACATCGGCAGAAGCCGAATCCTTTTAAATAACAGAGACCGCGCAATACAACGTATTTGGGTTTCACTAGTTGATCAGATAGCACCACTCTCGCGTAGTCTGTTGCGGTTGTTGGTCGGATACCACATGTCAATTTGTAGGAATGGATCAGATTGTGTTTTCAAAGAAAAAAATTAATATTCCTATTTCCACAAGAAGCAGAAGGCTTGTGGAGAAGTGTCTAACACAATGTAAGTAAAATTTGCCTTACTATCAAATTACACTAAATTTCGATTGCACAACGACAATTTAGAATTGAAAATTGATTTTTGCTATATTCTGGAAACGGTAAGGGATATCGAAATAAATCAGAATGCTCAAGGTTGAGGTACGATAATAAATTAATGATTTCAATTGGTTCGAATGATTTTGTTTTATTATGCAACACCTGAGAAAACAGGAGGGGGAAATTTCTACTAGCCCTCTTTATACCAAGTGTTATTCAATAGTCACTCACCCCTATACCTATAAACTTCTATGTTTTTGGAATGAACAATTGAAAATCAGTGTGAAGGTAAATGACAAATGTATGCATTCAATAACACATTTACATCGTTTCAGTCTTTTCTAGTTCAGACATAAATATGCATTTCTTGCTATGAATGAAACACCCAATAAATTTTTTGCCTAATTTTAATAAAATAAATCACATTATGATCGAAAATGACGTCACATTTGTCATTTTTGACTACTAAATATGAACGAGCACGAATAGTCATTTTCCACGAGTATGAAGTTTGCAGCATGAGCCGTGAAATGAGTATTCCGCGCGAGTTATACACTATACTTTTTTTTCGGCTCCAACATATAATAAGTATCAACATGATTTCATAAGACGTTTTACTAAAATCGAAATTTGACATTCCATAGAAGACGTGATTTATCTACAGTGTGACCCACTTCTAATGGAAACACCCCTGTATCTCATGTAATCGTTGGGTAAGGATCCTGAAATTTGCTGGAGCGAGAGATATACAAAAACTGTACTGTATGACCAAGTGGGGTCGTCTTCAGTGATATACACTGCTCGCCAACAGCCATGGAACCACCCCAATTTCCGGAAAATGATATTAGTAGTCAAAATAGGTCGAAAATCACTTCAGATTCGGAATCAGGACAGCCAGTTCACTAACTATTCATATTTTTTCTGGAAAATTTTCAGTTCTGAAAAATCAAGTTTTGTCGCACTTTTCACGGAAGCACCCCCGTATCTCACGTAATTGACTTCATCTTTGGACTTACCCTTCCTCCTGCAAATTTCAGAACCATACCTCAATAATTAGGTGAGATACAGGGGTGCTTCCATGAGAAGTGAGACAAAATTTGATTTTTGCGAACTGAAAATTTCCTTCGAAAACTATGAACTGGTAGTAATTTGGGTGTCCTGATTCCGAATCCGCAGTGATTTTCAACCTATTTTCACTCCTAATATCATTTTCCGGAAATTGGGGTGGTTCCATGGCTGTTGGCGAGCAGTGTATATCACTGAAGATGACCCCACATGGTCATAGAGTGCATTTTTGGTATATTTCTGACTCCAGCAAGTTTCAGGATACTTACCCAACGATTATGTAAGATACAGGGTTGTTTCCATTAGAAATGGGTCACACTGTATATACAAAAATCACAAATGTCCGTCTGTCTGTCTGTCGACCATTTCATTCCTCAGCAACCAGACGAGGTACAGACTTGAATTTGGTGTCTATGAAAAGGTCCTGATGACAAAACGACCAAAATCGTTGAGTTTAATTGGAAATTCAAGATGGCAGCACCAATATGACGGACGATTTTAGTGATTATGGTCCGATTCGATTCAAAATTGGTATCTAGGGGTTTTCGGGGTCGGAGATTACAATTCTTCCGACAAAATTTCAAAATCCAAGATGGAGGATCTAATATGGCGGACGAGTTATGTAATTATAGTCCGATTCGATTGAAAATTGTTATGTAGGGGTTTTGGGAGTCGGAGAATACAATTTTTTCTGTCGAAATTCGAAAATTCAAGATGGCGGCTGCAATATGGTATCCCATTTGCAATATTGCAAAATTCGAGGAAGTGGTTCAATTCATTTGGTCTCCACGTAACATCTGTGAATAATTATTCTATTAATTTAAGATTCCTATAAATTCACAGATAACGATGAGAATTCACTTGAAGAGCCAGATCCTTATGCTACAGATGGTAGCGATGATGAATATATTCCATCAACATCTAACCAAAGTAGCGATGAAAGTGTGAGTAACGAAAAGTTCGTTAGAGTGAACAGTTTTTTCGTTTTATTTCTGTAATTGGTTAATATGATCTGAATGCTTTGATAGGTGCGCTCGTTATCCAAAGATTGTGAAGGAGACTCCGAAACAGATTCATCAAATGCAACAAATAACAGCAAATCACCTATAATCAATATAATTTCACAAATAATTATACCTAAATCTGATAAGGTTAGTAAATCTATATAGAAGGTGAGCTGGCGAAAACGAAACAAGTCAAAATTTTTACATTTATAAGAATTTTTTTACGCTAGAGCCCATCCATTTTTAGATGAAGGAAAGCACCTTTCCGATAAATAGGATCTTCAGAATTGTAAGTTGTAATAAGGGTCGGAGAAATTTGGCTAAAGCTCACCCTAGTTCAAGAGTTGAAGTGACATGTTACATATGCTTGAATCTTTCATTTCGAAGAGGTCATCTTAACCCCTTCGAATTGAAATTGAAGGGATTGAGCTATTTTTTAATGATGACTAATACAAGAAGTTGGCTGTGTTTTGTTTTCGCTGCCCTACCCCACAAATTATGAAGTTAAAATTGCGATATTTAATCATATATTTTAGTTGGCGTTAGAAGAAATCACAAATTATGATCCAGTTAGTTGGGAATTCGACAATAGTTTCAGTGTAAGTCCACGTATGAAAACAGTTACAATCAAAATAATCACCATTTATATTTCAGAACGGACATTTGATGATCGACGATGATACTCTCAGAAGAATATCGACCTCTTTTGAAAAAAAACTGAAAATTGACAGTAGGAAACAAATTACCCAAAAAGTATGACACATTGACATATTTTTTCAAATGGGTCTCATTTTTTGTTTTCAATTGCTACGTATAGAGTCTACCGCTGTTTTCTTCATACCCTCGATTTTCAAGCTACCGATTTCTTCAATCTAATACCATAACAATAATCAGTGCGCAAAATATCCCAGTCCGAACAATGTGTTTAATTTTTTCTAAATTGAGTACCTCTCGGCCAATCAAGAATTCCATGAATTATTGATCTCAAAACAAATGAATTCCGTTGACGACCTCTCACAAATTTTCAGTAGGAAATACACAGGTCTATACCTGTGTATTTCCTACAAAATTTCACTCTGCATATTTCTTAATGAGATTTCGTATACTAAGAGATCTATGAGAGGTACGCAATGAAAGTCAACTGTTTGAAAAATAGTTCAATGAGACACTTGACTCGCCTGAAGTCTCTCATTTTGAATTTTATTAAAATTTTGGACATAGTAGAATGAAACATTTCGTGTATTTTTGTTTAGACTCTACACATGGGTGTTTTTTTTGGTACTGTTCAATGCCAAAGTATCAGTTTTCAAATAATAAACTTGCAGTTAGACTTAACATCGACAGCCTGCCCTATATTTGGATTTCAAAAGTGAAATAAGGTCCAATTGAGGCAGTTTTCGAATACCATTTCAACGAAAGAATAGATTATTTGATAATTACGATTTTCAGAACAGCTCTGGAATAGGTTTGGAAAACAATTTTGAATTTAATGATATTCATTGTTTTTAGAAAACCCTATACGACTCACCGTTTCTTATGAAAAATAAATGTAAGAAGACTATATGCAAATTTTGTGACCAAGAGGTTATATCAAGGCATTTTTCAAGGCATTTGGAAAGAAAACATAGAGATGAGCTTGAGGTGAAAGAAATAATGACTAAAAAGCCAAACTCCAAGGAGAAAAAACAAATGCTTTCACTAATGCGACACCAAGGATGTTTGGATGACGGGTTGAGGGACAAAATTGTGCCTAAGAAATATAAACCTGGCGAAGAAGTGAATGAACAAAATTTTGCTATATGCAAATATTGTAAAGGGTTTTTCAAGCGGCTGTACTTGAGCCGACATGTGAAAAAGTGTTTTGCCAAACCATCTGGGTCTGAAGATGTGAAACACCCTTTAACTGAATCATATATATACCATGCTTGTCAGAAAAAATATGGGGAAATATTAAGTAAACTCCAAGTGAAAAAAGAAGTTTTTGAGAGAATGCACGCCGATGAAATTACTCGAACTGCGAGTAATGATATTTTGATCATTTATTATGGAGAGGATTTACTCAAGAAAATAAAAATGAAAAGAAGGTTTTATCACATTAGTAACAAACTTCGTGAATGTGCTAAGTTTCTTAATGAAATAAGAAAAATTAAACCTTATGATAATCTTTTGTCCGTTTTGAGACCTGAAAATTTCGACAATACTATCGAGGCTATCAAGTCACTTTCAAGGTATGATATCTCCAAGAGGAATTTTGGAGCAGCATCCTTGGCATTACATTTCAGAACCAATCTGACTAACTTATGTGATTTGGCAATTAAACTAATTCTAAGAAGAAAAATACCTCATTTTCACCAAGATATTGAAAAAACATTGACAGAACTTGAAAGGTTCAAGAACTTAGTGGATACTCAGTGGGCTACTGAAATTGGAAGTTTAGCACTCAAGGATTTGAATGAGAAGTCGTCAGTTAAGCCCAAGTTGCTGCCAATAACCGAAGATATAGTCAAGTTTGCAAGATTAGTTGACGATAGAGCTGAGGAAGCTTATAAAACACTTTTTCAAAATAGAGTGGATAGAGTGTCATATAGAATTCTCGTGGAAACGGTACTAGTGGCTACTATTTTACACAATAGAAGGAGAGTGGGAGACGTTCAATACCTGGAGTGGCATTCATTGAAAGAACAATTTGAAACAGAATATACTATTTCACATACAGAAATAGCTAGTTCATTAACCGAAAATGAAAAGATTCTAACTGAAAATTATAAAAGAATAGTTTCAATAGGGAAAGGCAGCAGGGCCGTTACAATTTTAATTCCGAAAAAGATGTTTAAATATTTTAAACTTTTATTGAAACTTAGAGAAGAACCTTGGTTTCCAATCGAGAACACTTATTTTTTTACGTATCCTGAATCGAAATTTTGGATTGATGGTTGTTGTGTTATTCGGAAATATGCAAATTCATCCAATGCCAAATATCCCGAATTGATAACATCATGTAGGTTGAGGAAACATATTGCGACTGTCACACAGCTTCTCAATCTACAAACGAATGAAATTGACCAATTAGCCAAATTTATGGGGCATACATCTAAAACGCACGAAAGTTTTTACAAGTAAGTTCTTTATAAAATTACTTCAACAGTCCAGATAAAATCATTGATCAAATTAAAAACACAATTTTATGAAATGTGTGCTATCCAAAATAATCAACCTAGATCATTTTGAGAACCGTTGAAGAAATTGACTTCGGGTAAGGAGCTTCAGATAAGGTTGGATGGAGGTTGAAGCTCTGATAACCTACGTGCTTTTATATGAAGACAACTTGTTGATTTTTCAAAATACCTTCTGAAATGCGATAATTCTGTGACGTTCATATCTTTGTTCACGACTGTTGTATGGAATATTCATAATACATGTGTTCCTTCAAGCAAAATGATAGTCGTTTGCGACACTGTGAATAATAGCGATGAATAACTATCATTCACTGGTGTCAAACTAACAACCATGAACTCTTTCGACAAGCAATTCGATCTTATACGTATACATAAATACGGTGAAAAATAGAGGTGCTATGAAATATCAATTCAAAGCGACTTTGATTTGACATGTCGATAAATTGTTGAATAATAGCCACCATAATATGCTCGTTGAATAATACACTATTATATAGCAAATAGCAAGAATTGATTAAATAATGCGTTAGCAAAAGCGGCCATTTTGCAGATGTCACTGATTAAAAATTTCAAACTCCTCCCAAACTTCGAATGCACCGAACCTGAAGTTAACAATGCACTTTATCTTTCAAATTATTCTGGACGGCCCACAGCTAGTTGATTTAGTTCGCCATAATAACCTGAAAAGCAATTTTTTTATGTTATGATAGACTGCCACAAGATGTTTATCAGATTGCTAAAGTATCTAAAATTCTTCGAATAATGGAAAAGGGAAATGCGGCCAAATTCAAAAACAAGACGCTGGAAGAAATTGATGTTGACATGAATGAGATAGAGTCAGTGATGGAGAGAGATGATAATGTGGAGATTTCTAACACGAATAGTAGTTTGGGTATGTATCATTAACAAATTTGGAAATAGAAATATTTTATGAAAGAGTTATAGGCGACGGAAGTGTAACCGAAAACTTAGATGAACATCAATTTCTATTCAGTTCGAGAGAAGAAAATGAAAAACATGATGGAGACAATTTTGAAACAGCTATTTTCAGTGGCAATGGAGGATCGAACGATAAAGGTATTTTCCTATTCGTCATCTTCCTTTCATTTATATAGGGTGACTAGTTATATTCTGTATTTCAAATGCTCATATCTCCGAAACTATATTCAATTTATCGACAAGCGGTTTAGACTAGTCCATTTTGTTATTTTTCGAGTTTTTTCTTGACGGGTTCACGTTTTCTTCCAAACTTCTGGTTCTACGCGAAATATATATGCCATTTTTCAGCTAAAGGGGAACTTTTTCATTTCATGGAATCATTCTGTATATTTTTGCATATCCAGAATGATTGGTCTTTTCCCGTTCTAACAATGCATAACAAGTTATGTTTTCTCAGAAAAATGTAGGAGTTATAACTGTTTGAAATAACGACTGCATATGGAAAAATAGCATATTAATTTCCGGTTCAACCGGAAGTCTAAGTGAAGAGGTGAACCCGTCAAAACAACCTTGAAAAATAACAAAATAGAGTACTCCAAACCGCATGTCGATAACTTGAATAGTTTAGGTGATATGAGCACTTGGAATGGGTCAGAATATAACTGGTTATAACCTGTACTAATATTTCGAATTCTAATCAAAAAATTCTTTCATTTTCAGAGAAAGGGGAATATAATATAGAAGAAATTACAAGTGAGGTCAATATCGGGCAAACATCTCATCACGCTGGGACTATATTCAGAAAAGAACTGTCGAAAAAAGGTTTATTCAGGTCATTGTGAATATTTCATTGATGTTTACATTCTCATATATTATAGGTTCACGAAAACGATGGTCCACCATTCAAAAAACCTTGATGAAGAAATACTTCTCAAAACATATAAAATCGAAGAAAGCACTCCGTAAAGGGGAATGCGAAGCTTTTATTGATGCATATAGTAATGATTTTGAAGGAGTAGGATGGGTTAGAGTAAAAACTTTCATTTTCAATGAGACCAGAAATAATTCAGATACCTAATTCCTTCTCGTTTTTGACATCTTCATATTATCAGAATATTCTGGTAATATTTTCAATATTTTCTTTCGAATAGTTTTATTAGGATAATTTCCTTGCAGGATGGAATATTCTTAATTTTTTCACACTATCGAACATGAAGATGCTGGATGATCTTGATTTCGAAACTTACCTCTCCAATTATCTTGGAATCGGAAAATTTTTTGAATAATCGTCCAATCACTTTATACCTCATTTCCCCTCTACTCCTTCAGATTGTCACCCCCTGTTTTTTTTTCAAATTAAATGAAAGTGAGTCATACCTGATTCGAAAAATATAAAACCCATCGGTGGCTCCACAATTCAGTTATTCATTATAAAAGTTAAACGTTTTCCAATATTTGTGATGACAAAACCTTTGAAATAAAGTATCAATCAACCCATTTTCCATCTAACGTTTTTGGGAGGCAAGGAGCTGAAAAATGAATAGTATATTCAATACAAAAATATTCCTCTTGAGATTACAATAGACAAATTTCGGCAATTTTTCAAAAAACTCTGCGATTTCAAAATGGGTGAGATATTTGTTTTAATTTTATTTTAAGAACACAAATTTGTTCATTTTAGTTATTCGTATGATCCACATATTTTTTTTATAAATGTTGTTAGTGAACGTTGCAAAGATCAAGTCATCTGATCCTGATCCTGAAGGTTTCCATTTCTCTTTCCTTCTCTCGGTCGCATAGCGATTCCTAAGAATAACCCACCTTGTACATACACTTTCAGCTGAAACCATAGAATTTGATTGTCAACCCTGTACACATATTGCATTTCTAGTTTAATTCTCAAATTACTGAAACAATGAGATATCAATACCACATACCAATATCCTACATAATGACTGCAATCGTTTTCCAGGCATTTTCTCTGACAATTTATTTTTGAAATCTATATGTTTTCTATCTTAGATAAACGAGAATTGCACTTCAAGTTCTATCAACTGTCCATCTGTATCCATTATGATTTGAAGCTATTTTTTTATTATATGAAACTCTGAATAAAAAACTCGATCCTCAATTATGGAAGAAACTAATTCTTTAGTTGAATGTTGGCCATCTTTCTTTGTTTTAATTTTAATTTAATTCGTTTAGTTCCTTGCATGGTTTCAGTTCAAATTTAATTCAAATTTGAAATTTTGCCTGCTTGGACTAAAAGGTTATGTCTACAATTTTTTTTTATTATGGAAAATTAATTATGGGCTAACCCAACAAACCCCCGGAAAATTATTTCATTTTACTCCATAGTGCGAACCAACAAATGGTATCTAAAGGGCACACATGGATGCGACTCGAAACTAGCAAAAACGTGTCCATCTTGCCTTGTACCAGCACACGACGGATGTCACTTGACCTAGGCGGAAAAAGCAGCGGCATGTGTCACAAGTCACAAGTCAACAAGAAATACAAGTGGCACGAGACAACATGGTAGTGACTGTCCACCCACCGGAGATGTGTGTACTGGAAAAAGGGGAGAAGAAGATATTTGTAGGTTATAATAATGGGGTTATGTTAATAAAAATGAAAAACTCGGAAATTCAATGGAAAAATCGAAGACCACAGAAGTAGAAAAAACAACTGCTATTTCTGTTCATTTTGTGAAATGTAATGGATTGAAAAGTTTCAGGCTATCGTGATGGGTTTTTTCATTCAGTGAATTAACATGTAAAAGTTCAAGATCTGTCTGACTGTTAAAAGAATGGTTTGAGTTGAGAATGTGATTGGCAGAAAAACTTTTAGTGTGATATTTATCCGAATGTGGATTTCTTGATTTTTCTATAAGTTTGACATGCTTATTGACTCGAGTCTGAATACTACGACCACTCTGACCGATATACTGGGCATTACAATGTATATCAGAACAAGAAATTTTATAGACACCTGATTCATGTAGGAGGGGCACTTTTCTTATATAAAAGTTGTTGACATAACAGTTCTATTCCCATGTAAGCACTCTTATTCTCATTACTCTTGTTGATAGTACTAATGAGTTACTAACTTCAATTTCAGGACAATCAAGTAATTTCTGATGTAAGGCTGATGATGGACATATTTATGTCCGGTGTAACATGAAAATTGACTTTTTCATCTTACATAATATATATACTTTGAAAACACAATAATAAATAAAGAACTTATCAACATGAAGATACCAACCAACAAATTTTGGTTTTCTCCTCATTTAAGTAATTGATCAATATCTTCACTATGATGTTGTCACATTGCTCACTCTGTATAATACCCTTTATTCAGTAAAATACACAATACCACTACTATCACTTGATTATCTTCAAGAAACATCTCTAGTCATCTTGCAGTTTTGGATAGGCCATGTCTGGAAACTCCAATATTACCTAAAAGAAAGTAAGGTTTATTAATATAAAAAAATAAAGAAAGTTGTTAGTACTTACCAGAAAGGAAGACTCCTAGAAGGAGGGCTTTTATTAGAGTTCGTCGATCAGTTCAGAATATCTGGAGACAGCTTGTTGTTCTGAAACAAATTTAAATAGTTATGGTTAATATTGTCTAAAATCCTGAAATGTTGAAAAATACAATCAGTGATTACTTGGAGAAGGCTTACCTTGTTATTTATTGAGTGAAAGGTAGATTTAGTGGAAAATTCGTCACTTTTCTTAATATTTATTGTAGGTTATTTTGTTTTGGGCAAATCTGACACATCAGGGACAGGAACCCCATTTCTTCGTCGTCTTGTTTTAGTTGGTTTCAGAGGCTATCTTCCCCGGACAAGCAGACGTTTACCTTGAGTTGTGTTTTCGGTGATGTGTGTGATCTGGCGTGTTTGTTAGATGTTTGTGTACGAGATGGATGACCCTATGCTGTTTGGATGGACACCATGCTTCAACAGTCGGAGAGTCTAGGTAGTTATCCACCAGT